ATTTTATTTATATAAATATATTATTTTTATTTTGATATATAACTTTAAAAATAATTTGTAAATATAATAATGAGAAATATCTTTTTAAGATATATAGTTAATTTTAGCAAAATTTATAATAATTTAAAAATAATAATTAAATATATAAGCTAAGAGATAAATCGTTAAAGTGTAACATATTTAAATTTATTGAAGAAAGGTAGTATAATATGTACATCTCTAAATAAATGTTAGTATGAAGGATGTTTTGATAATAAATATTTTTTTGTAAAGAAAGTTGACGAAACTTTAACGAAAACTTTTAAAAATGGACAAAGTGTCATATATATTTTTTTAGAATTTTTTTAGATAGAAGATTGTAATTTTTTAACATAAGAGAGGAGAATAGTATAAAAATTGTATATATTTAAGGGAGAATAATGTAATTCTATGACATTGCACCTAATTAAAGAGAGAACTTTTTGTAACTTATATTGTTAATGGATCAAAATGCTTCTACTTATTTTTTGAATCAATGAGAAAGACAAAAAATAAAAGGAGAAAGAAAAAACTAAATACCCCTGTGATACAAGATTTTTCTAGCATCCACAAGAGTAAAAAGATATAGTTGTTTCAAACATTTAGACAAAGCAAAATAATTCATCAGAATAATTGACTTTTAATTTTGTCAACCAATCAACACATATGTTTTTCTCCATAAAAGTATGTTTAAAAGAGATATCTTAGAGGACATTGAGAAAGACTCTAGTTTTAAAAATTAGAGAAGCATATGAATATGAGTAAAATAGTAATATATTTTACTTGATGAGTAATAATCCATTTATTAAGTTTGACTCACAAATAACAGAGTTGTATCTCGCCTCATGCATAATACGAAAATCATGATTAATGTCCAGCAAATCTGCATTAACATTAGTTGAGACATCACAATATCTTGCAAATCCTTGAATCCATCGTCTGAGATGATGTTGAAGAAGATCGCCAAAACCTGACTTGCCTAGATTTTTCAAAGAGCTCCCATCTATGTTGATTTTGATAATATACTCATTCAAAGCAACCCATCTAACTAAAAGATGGTCAATAGAACTAAATTTCTTTCATTAAAAGCCAAAATGAATAAAGCCACCATAGTGTTGGTTTGGTTGATCACATACCACTCATACTAGATAAAATCCTAAAAAATTTCATAATTCTTTGACCTCTAGATTGTCCAACCAGTGATTGTAAAAAACATACATTTACTACTAGTTGAATTATCACTCACTTAATTATAAAAGTTGTTATCATCATCCCACCAAATAAAATTAAAAGAGTTCTAAATTTACTTTTATAAAAATATAAAAAGAATCAACAATTAATTAATGTTCATTTTAAAGTAGATATTTATTTATTATAATTAAAAAAAGAGTCGGTATCCAATATCATCAAATGCAAATTTAAACATTTTTAGAATCATATGAAATTTTGATATAAATTTTGATATAAATATTTAAAATTATATATAATGTCAACCGATCTGACTCTAAAAAAATATATAGATATTTATTTCTTTTTCTTATATGAAGGTCCTGAAAAGGAATATCATAAAAATATATATATATATATATATAT